CGTGTGTGTGTATTATGGTTGACATTGCGTTACCAGGATGTCTTCCCACAGCATTCGTCAGTGAGTGGTGTATGCGAGGGCGACCAGTACGTCAACAAAGCCTTTATTGTCATCACAGTACTTGTGTGAGTGTGTTCTTTGAGTGCTCTGGTGGGAGTGTAGCCTGCAAGTGCTCTAGTGAAAGGGATTTCTTTGGAAATCTTAAATATATCTGTCCCTTTGAGTACTGTAGTGTAAGTTAAAGAGTGTGCTAGGGAGTACCCAGTGTGAAGGGTTCGAATCCTCCTCGTGTCTCCTGCTGAGTTCCTCACTGTTACCTCACGTTAATGTGATTCCTTTATACATTAATAACATTGAAATAATAATAATACTGATAACAATTGTGACATATACTGCAATATGTGTAATTCTAAGTGCCATTAACTGTGTAACTATTTATGTCCAGTGACAGTTTTGCAACAGCTAAAACGCTTACACTGAGGAGAGAGGGACTTATCAGGGGAAAGCGCCAAGCCATTACGACTATATAGCACTTGGAAGGGGTCAGGATAAGGATTTGGGATGGGACGGAGGGAAAGGAATGGTGACGAACCATTTGGACCGTAGGGGGATTGAACGCCGACCTGCACGAAGCGAGACCGTCGCTCTACCGTCCAGCTCAAGTGGTTGGACTACACTGAGGAGTAACCAAGTATATGTGTGTGCATACAGTGAGCTTATTTTAGATTAGATATTGTGACGTATGTTTACCCTCCCTCTCACGGTTAATGGGCCTTAAGTCCAACATCAGTCCAAATGGTAAAGTCTAATGGACGCAAAACACAGTTGCAGGAAGAGACAATACCATCAACAAATAGCTTGGGGGGTAGAAATAGCCTAAGCTACTCTATCCCTTTGAGATGTATTTCTTTCTTATCTCAATAAACATACTTGAACTTGAACTTGAACAAATAGCCTGAACCTAATACCAAACATTGCCAGAGAAGTCATCTGATAGAGCAAGTGCAGTAATTTCTGCCGTCTTCCCCGTGGCTGACAATAATATTAAGCAACTTTTTCTTCTGCATGGCGAGCGCTTACCACCAGGAAAGTTTGGAGGAAAATAAAGAGAGAGGAAAGTCGGAGTGAAGAGCAGCCCCGGGGGTTGTAAACATCCCCCAGCACTGTTTTGGCCGGCAGTAACTACAGCCACCGAGCAGCCTCGCTCGTCATGGCTGGGCCCCCCCACACACCACATAATGCCGCCTCTAATATACTGCTGGCCAGCGAGTATAACCTCGGCTGTGTATGTTGCGCGGCTCTGCTTCTCCTCCTCCCGATGTTTCTAGCGCATGATTTTCATGCGTTGTATTAGCTTCGAGTATGCTAATACAGAACACTTTTTTTCCTATGGATATTCTGCTATGGAGTCGGTCGGCCGAGCGGACAGCACGCTGGACTTGTGATCCTGTGGTCCCGGGTTCGATCCCAGGTGCCGGCGAGAAACAATGGACAGAGTTTCTTTCACTCTATGCCCCTGTTACCTAGCAGTAAAATAGGTACCTGGGTGTTACTCAGCTGTCACGGGCTGCTTCCCGGGGGTGGAGGCCTGGTCGAGGACCAGGCCGCGGGGACACTAAAAAGCCCCGAAATCATCTCAAGATAGAAGATGCTAATACAGAAGACTTTTTTATCCTCTGGATATTCAGCTATGGATGTTTTGGAACAGAACTTCTAGTTGTAGATGTTTCTATTCAGGAGAGTCTGATGTTCTGTTAAGGGACTTCAGCTTCAGTTGCTCTGGCACAAAAAAATCGGCTACGGATTTATTGGTCCATTGTATCTCTGTTCAGGATATTTTTATGTTCTGATATACTTTTTTTTTTTGCAGGGATATTCCTGCGCGGGCCCTAAGCCTCTGGCTGGCCCACTGCGCGGGCCCTAAGCCTCTGGCTGGCCCACTGCGCGGGCCCTAAGCCTCTGGCTGGCCCACTGGGCGGGTCCTAAGCCTCTGGCTGGCCCACTGCGCGGGCCCTAAGCCTCTGGCTGGCCCACTGCGCGGGCCCTAAGCCTCTGGCTGGCCCACTGGGCGGGTCCTAAGCCTCTGGCTGGCCCACTAAGTGTTGCTTGTTTCTGTTTTACTTGGGCGGAGTATGAGTATTTATGACTCGTATGGTCGCTTCAGTAAGATTTTGCCATATGTGTTTAACAACTTCTTCTGCTCTGATGAATCTAAGTTGAAATCTTAATGGGTTTGCAACTGCGCACTGTTTCTGATATACGATTTTTACCAACTTTTTTGTGTAATGGTTTTTCAAAATACTAGTACAATTTGTCCGCTTACATCAAACCCAAAAGTTTTCGTTTCAGGACGTTGCGATCAAACTCGCTTAAGCTTTTCCTTCCGTTCAGGACAATTAGGCTATGATCGCTTCATCCAAGAATATTTTCGTACCCCAACTCAATCGAACTTAAACCTACCTCGAGATCACATGAAGGGCTGTTGACCCGTCTGTGCTGCCTCGGGAGTCATTATACCTCCCCCTGTGATCCTGGAAACCATCGTATATAATGCACAATTTGATTCCGCTTAGCGGCGGAGAGGAAATGTCTGCCATGCATATAAATAGGCTTGCTTATTGAGCGTCGTTTAGTTGGGACACGTTATGGAGTAAACGCGGATATTACTCTAGAAGTTTAGGGCCTGTGGGGGGGGGGGTTGTCTGCCTTTATGTAGATTAATGACTTTAGTATCCATGAAGCAATATATATATAATCTATATAATGTTTATATATAATGTTTGCAATATAATGTTTATATATAATCTACTTATTTGGATCACATTGTTGCACAATGTATACACATATTGTATCTTAGTTGACAAAAGTTCGGTTAACTTTGTATATAATACAATATTTTATGAACTAAAACTGAATTAGTTCATCTAATGAACGTGACATTTAGTCACACAAAGGCCAGTAACTTTTCACTACACTGTGAATATTCAAATATATGGTCATAGTGATGGGTGTTATATATGGGTGTGGAGGCTCAGTGTGTGTGATTTCTGCCACTATTTGGTAACGATAATTGCCTATTAAAGCCTCATAATTAAAACCATTTTTTTTATCGAGACCTGTACCAAGTGACCTAACTGAAGTTGACGTCAAAATAAGAGTGAATACACTCTTGTGAATACATGTGTATTCACACATGTGAATACATGTGTATTCACACATGTGAATACATGTGTATTCACACATGTGAATACATGTGTATTCACACATGTGAATACATGTGTATTCACACATGTGAATACATGTGTATTCACACATGTGAATACATGTGTATTCACACATGTGAATACACAAAATATTTAGTGTATTCACATGAAGGGAGTGAGCGAAGGTTACATTTCCCTCAGAAGACACATTGAAGACACATTAACAATCGACTTGAGAATGGTCCAGGACGGGCCGAAACGTCGTCGTCCCTTCACCTTCTACTGTGTGGTCTGGTTACCTTGAGGTTGCCTTGAGATGATTTCGGGGCTTCTTAGTGTCCCCGCGGCCCGGTCCTCGACCAGGCCTCCACTCTTCAGGAAGCAGCCCGTGACAGCTGACTAACACCCAGGTACCTAATTTTACTGCTAGGTAACAGGGGCATAGGGTGAAAGAAACTCTGGCCCATTGTTTCTCGCCGGCGCCTGGGATCGAACCCAGGACCACAGGATCACAAGTCCAGCGTGCTGTCCGCTCGGCCGACCGGCTCCCTAAAACATACTTCAGCCACGTTATTGTGACTCCTCGCCTATACATATTAATTAATATTAATTAATATATATTTCATAGCTTTTTGGACGGTTTACAATGGTGCAATTGTAAACATTCTTGTTTGTTGACCAATCAACAAACAAGAATACAATATATGTTTTCAAAGTTGTTTCAGCACTTGTTATTAATAAATGTGTTTAATTCAAAATATTTTATTAAAAAAATTAATAAACAGAATCTCTGTAACTGAATGTAACTGGTTTATTAAAAGGGGGAAAAAAACTTTCTGCTAAGTTTTTCTTTCCAAAAGTTTTGGGAAAACTTTCCATGAAGATCAGAATGCGCCCTGATCTCCCAGTCTTGAGAACGTTCCCTGACCAAAGTTAGGAGAGCGCACTGTGCTGCTTCTTGAAATTAATCCCTACAGATCTCCCTACACTCCTTCGCCGTTCATATACTTTCATGACCTCGTGTCAGTGTCACCCCGGCCTGTCACCCTCGTGCCAGTGTCACCCCGGCCTGTCACCCTCATGCCAGTGTCACCCCGGCCTGTCCCCTCATGCCAGTGTCACCCCGGCCTGTCCCCTCATGCCAGTGTCACCACGGCCTGTCCCCTCATGCCAGTGTCACCCCGGCCTGTCACCCTCATCCCAGTGTCACCCCGGCCTGCCCTCATGTCAGTGTCATCCTGGCCTGCCCCTCATGCCAGTGTCACCCCAGCCTGCCACCCTCATGCCAGTGTCACCCCGGCCTGTCACCCTCATGCCAGTGTCACCCCGGCCTGTCCCCTCATGCCAGTGTCACCCCGGCCTGTCCCCTCATGCCAGTGTCACCCCGGCCTGTCCCCTCATGCCAGTGTCACCCCGGCTTGTCACCCTCATCCCAGTGTCACCCCGGCCTGCCCCTCATGTCAGTGTCACCCTGGCCTGCCCCTCATGCCAGTGTCACCCCAGCCTGCCACCCTCATGCCAGTGTCACCCCGGCCTGTCACCCTCATGCCAGTGTCACCCCGGCCTGCCCCCTCATGCCAGTGTCACCCCAGCCTGCCCCCTCATGCCAGTGTCACCCCGGCCTGTCACCCTCATGCCAGTGTCACCCCGGCCTGTCCTCTCATGCCAGTGTCACCCCGGCCTGTCCTCTCATGCCAGTGTCACCCCGGCCTGTCCTCTCATGCCAGTGTCACCCCGGCCTGTCCTCTCATGCCAGTGTCACCCCGGCCTGTCCTCTCATGCCAGTGTCACCCCGGCATGTCCCCTCATGCCAGTGTCACCCCGGCCTGTCCTCTCATGCCAGTGTCACCCCGGCCTGTCCTCTCATGCCAGTGTCACCCCGGCCTGTCCTCTCATGCCAGTGTCACCCCGGCCTGTCACCCTCATGCCAGTGTCACCCCGGCCTGTCCTCTCATGCCAGTGTCACCCCGGCCTGCTAATCGTGCTAGTGTCACCCCGGCCTGTCCTCTCATGCCAGTGTCACCCCGGCCTGTCCTCTCATGCCAGTGTCACCCCGGCCTGTCCCCTCATGCCAGTGTCACCCCGGCCTGTCCTCTCATGCCAGTGTCACCCCGGCCTGTCCTCTCATGCCAGTGTCACCCCGGCCTGTCCTCTCATGCCAGTGTCACCCCGGCCTGTCCTCTCATGCCAGTGTCACCCCGGCCTGCTAATCGTGCTAGTGTCACCCCGGCCTGTCCTCTCATGCCAGTGTCACCCCGGCCTGTCCTCTCATGCCAGTGTCACCCCGGCCTGTCCCCTCATGCCAGTTTCACCCCGGCCTGTCCTCCCATGCCAGTGTCACCCCGGCCTGTCACCCTCATGCCAGTGTCACCCCGGCCTGTCCTCTCATGCCAGTGTCACCCCGGCCTGCTAATCGTGCTAGTGTCACCCCGGCCTGTCCTCTCATGCCAGTGTCACCCCGGCCTGTCCTCTCATGCCAGTGTCACCCCGGCCTGTCCCCTCATGCCAGTGTCACCCCGGCCTGTCCTCTCATGCCAGTGTCACCCCGGCCTGTCCTCTCATGCCAGTGTCACCCCGGCCTGTCCTCTCATGCCAGTGTCACCCCGGCCTGCTAATCGTGCCAGTGTCACCCCGGCCTGTCCTCTCATGCCAGTGTCACCCCGGCCTGTCCTCTCATGCCAGTGTCACCCCGGCCTGCTAATCGTGCCAGTGTCACCCCGGCCTGTCCTCTCATGCCAGTGTCACCCCGGCCTGTCACCCTCATGCCAGTGTCACCCCGGCCTGTCCTCTCATGCCAGTGTCACCCCGGCCTGTCCTCTCATGCCAGTGTCACCCCGGCCTGTCCTCTCATGCCAGTGTCACCCCGGCCTGCTAATCGTGCCAGTGTCACCCCGTCCTGTCCTCTCATGCCAGTGTCACCCCGGCCTGCCCTCGACAGTCCTGTACCCGACAAAGTTTATAGCAGGCACTAACGAGAAACATCAGGGAATTATGTGGGTTAGATGACCGTGGTTGTGTAAAACCATGCCACCGGCAGGAACCAACAGTTTTACTCCATAAACTGTCTGGCGGTAACTGTAAGCAGTGCCAAATGACCTTTACACATCCCACGAGAATTCATTTATAAGTGTATCTTAAGTTTTAAAACTAACGTTGTAATTATTAGTAGTAGTAATATTATTAAATTCGAAATATTACAGCTTATTACAGTCATAATTATGATTCTTCAGTGTTCAAATTGTTGAAGTGATTGTACTGGTCAAGCCTGACCTCAAGCCGGGCTTAGGGAGTAGAAGAACTCCCAGAACCCCATCAACCAGGTATCAAGCAGGTCGAGGACCGGGCTTGGGGAGTAGAAGAACTCCCAGAACCCCATCAACCAGGACAGTATGTGTTGGTAGCCGGATTCTTGACCAAAACTGGTTGAATAATTTTACGAATCTCGGGTGATTACGAGCGTTGAAATTGGTCAAGTTCGTTCAAGAAGACTATGTGGCCCTCGGGGCGCCTCTCGCTTTGAAGTTTATACTTGAAGGAAGAAGCGATAGTGTCGTTAAGGAAATGGCGAGTATACATTTTGTGGCGATGGTGTTATGCACCCAGACCAACCCTGTCTCTCCACGGGTGGGTCTGGTGGGACGGTGGTGGGTCTGGGTGGACGGTGGTGGGTCTGGGGGGACGGTGATGGGTCTGGGGGACGGTGGTGGGTCTGGGGGACGGTGGTGGGTCTGGGGGGACGGTGGTGGGTCTGGGGGGACGGTGGTGGGTCTGGGGGGACGGTGGTGGGTCTGGGTGGACGGTAGTGGGTCTGGGTGGGCGGTGGTGGGTCTGGGTGGACGGTGGTGGGTCTGGGGGGACGGTGGTGGGTCTGGGTGGACGGTGGTGGGTCTGGGGGGACGGTGGTGGGTCTGGGTGGACGGTGGTGGGTCTGGGTGGACGGTGGTGGGTCTGGGTGGACGGTGGTGGGTCTGGGGGGGACGGTGGTGGGTCTGGGGGGACGGTGGTGGGTCTGGGTGGACGGTGGTGGGTCTGGGGGGACGGTGGTGGGTCTGGGGGGACGGTGGTGGGTCTGGGTGGACGGTGGTGGGTCTGGGTGGACGGTGGTGGGTCTGGGGGGACGGTGGTGGGTCTGGGGGGACGGTGGTGGGTCTGGGGGGACGGTGGTGGGTCTGGGGGGACGGTGGTGGGTCTGGGGGGACGGTGGTGGGTCTGGGTGGACGGTGGTGGGTCTGGGTGGACGGTGGTGGGTCTGGGGGGACGGTGGTGGGTCTGGGGGGACGGTGGTGGGTCGGGGGGGGACGGTGGTGGGTCTGGGTGGACGGTGGTGGGTCTGGGGGACGGTGGTGGGTCTGGGGGGACGGTGGTGGGTCTGGGTGGACGGTGGTGGGTCTGGGTGGACGGTGGTGGGTCTGGGTGGACGGTGGTGGGTCTGGGTGGACGGTGGTGGGTCTGGGGGGACGGTGGTGGGTCTGGGTAGACGGTGGTGGGTCTGGGTGGACGGTGGTGGGTCTGGGGGGACGGTGGTGGGTCTGGGTGACATACAGTTGCTGCTCACAACAGCCCTGCCTGGAAATGTAACCATGTTTTTGTTAAACTCTTAACCAGAATCCCGAGTTAGTACGATATCCTGTCTGTCTGTCTGTCTGTCTGTCTGTCTGTCTGTCTGTCTGTCTGTCTGTCTGTCTGTCTGTCTGTCTCTCTCTCTCTCTCTCTCTCTCTCTCTCTCTCTCTCTCTCTCTCTCTCTCTCTCTCTCTCTCTCTCTCTCTCTCTCTCTCTCTCTCTCTCTCCCGTAACAGTGAAGCACTGAGCACCTCGACCCAGCTAACGGCACCAACTTGGTTATATTGAAATTCAGAGGCCAAGTTTGAGCGGGACCGGAGATGGGAGTCGCGATGCTTGCGGTAAGTAGCCAGTGTTGCTGATGAATGTGGCGCTCCTCTTTATATGGTGATAATGTCCATTTAGAACCATCCTCTCACCATCTTGTTGCGGTGTACAGTGATGTGGTGGTGTGGTGGTGATGTGGTGGTGCTGGGGTGGTGTGGTGGTGGTGGGGTGATGTGGTGGTGTTGGGGTGGTGTGGTGGTGTTCGGGTGGTGTTGTGTGGTGAACAGTGGTGTTCTTCCAATCCTCGTAATTTTGCATTTGTCTGGGTTAAATTCTAGCAGCCATTTTTCAGACCACTTCTTGAGTGTGTCCAAATCCGCTTACTACGCACCACACTCTATCCCTGACCTGACTCTTCTCATTAGTTTTGTATCATCTGCAAACATTGATATGAAGGAGCCAATTTCCTGTGTCAGGTCATTGATATATGTTAGAAACAGGATTGTCCCAAGAACTGACCCTTGTGGTACTCCACTTGTAGCCTCTCTCCACTCTGATGTCTCTGCTCTCTCTTCAACTTGTCCTCTTACAAATTACGTCTGAATTTGGTCGTTTGCCCGTATGGCTGAAAATGGACGTAATTTGAAAATGAAAAATAATTACAAATAAATTTTGGATTTTTTTTTCTCAAACAGCAAGTTCAGGGTCCTCTGGTAGGTTAGGAGGGCAGGAAGTTCTAACGTTTCAAAATGTCATGAAAAACGTTAATTGACAGTTTCCTCTCCTAACAGAATAAGCCAGAGGACTCAAACAGAAAACGGGACAGTACGTCACTTTCGTGAGCCGATTTCATTTCAAATTTACGTCTATTTTTGGCCATAGCGCGCATATCAGCGACAAGCAACGTAATATTAAGAGGACGGGTTGCACTGTAACCCTTTGCTTCCTGCCTGAGAACCACATTAGGACTCTTCCAGATACACCAGCCTACTTTTCTAGTTTGAGTAGGAGCCTTTCACACAGGATTGTATCAAATGCCATCTGAGTGTCAAGGAATATGCAGTCAGTCCATCTCTCTCTCTCTCTCTCTCTCTTGTTTGATTTCTGTCATCTTGTTGTACAACTCCAGCAAGTTTGTCTAGCAAGATTTTCCTTTACTAAAAACGTGCTGGTGCCTTAAGACAGAACTGATCTGTTCTAAATATTGTACTAGCCTGCTTCGGATCAGTCTTTCCAATAACTTGCAGGGGAAACTTGTTAGTGACACGGGTCTGTAGTTTACCGGTTTCTATCTTCTCCTATTCTTGTAGATTGATACCAAATTAGCCATTTTCCAACAGGGAGGAAGTTCTGTTTCTTTAGAGGAATTAATTTTTATGGCAAGTGGGCTGCACAGTGCTTCAGCTGCCTCTTTTAGTATCCACGGTGATATTTTGTCTGGTCCCACGGCTTTTGTCACATCCAGTTCCTGCAGTTACTTCTATACTTCTTCTGGTGTCACTGTTATTTCAGTGAAGCTTTCCTGCGGAATTTTCCGTTCAGTTTGGGCTCTAAGCTCCAGTGGCAAAACAGGTTCCAGCTTGAATACTTCCTAAAAGCTTTTGTTAAGTTCCTCGCATACCTCCTTATCATTTTCGGTGTGTCCTCCTTCACACTTGTCAAGTGTGATTACCTGATCATTTACAGTCATCTTTCTCCTGATATGACTATGGACCAGTTTTGGCTCGGACGTAACCTTGTATGCAATGTTATTTTCGTACTGCTTCTCTGCCAACACAGAAACTCTCCTAGTTTCTGTGTACTTATTTCTGACCTCTTTGTATGCATTGTCATCTTTAGTTCTTTGCTCTCTATATTTCTTCCGTGCCCTTTTGTGTGTACTCACGTAGTTGTGCTTGCGGGGGTTGAGCTTTGGCTCTTTGGTCCCGCCTCTCAACTGTCAATCAACTGAGTGCCCGTGCATGTGTGTACCTTTATATGGGTGTGTGTCCGTGTGTGTGTGTGTACCTTTATATGGGTGTGTGTCCGTGCATGTGTGTACCTTTATATGGGTGTGCCCGTGTGTGTGTGTACCTTTATATGGGTGTGTGTCCGCGTGTGTGTGTACCTTTATATGGGTGTGTGCCCGTGCATGTGTGTACCTTTATATGGGTGTGCCCGTGTGTGTGTGTACCTGTATATGGGTGTGTGCCCGTGTGTGTGTACCTTTATATGGGTGTGTGCCCGTGTGTGTGTGTACCTGTATATGGGTGTGTGCCCGTGTGTGTGTGTACCTTTATATGGGTGTGTGCTCGTGTGTGTGTGTACCTTTATATGGGTGTGTCTGTGTATGTGTGTACCTGTATATGGATGTATACAGGTGTATACATACACACCACCGGGTGTATATCCATGTATGTTTGTACCTGTATATGAGTGTATACACACGTGTATGTGTACTCACTTAGTTGCTTGCAGGGGTTGAGCTCGGCTCTTTGGTCCCGCCTCTCAACTGTCAATCTACAGGCTCCTGATTTTAATAAGTTATGTCATGTCTACATTTGAAATTGTAGGTGATGATATCCTTTGGATGTGGGCTTCAGGAGACAGGTTCGGTGTGATAGAGATCTTAGATCCTTCTGTCTGTCCGTTTCATGAAGGACTTCGTCTCCCATGCGGCACCTTTTTCATGCCCGAAACGCTTTGCGTAATAGTGGCTTTAGGCATTGTATGTACTAGCTCTACCTATAAGTCAACCAATCTTTGTAAAAATTTATTGTATGTATGTACCTTACCTAAATAAATTATTTTATTTTTTTTTATTTTTTTTTTTTTACCTTGTGTCTCACCTGCTCCTTCCACCCAACTTCATTACTTAACAATTATTTAAGTTGAACTTTAGTAGCCATTTGTTGGAGCATTCCTTTAGTTTGTCTAGGTCATCTTGTAGCCTGTTGCTAGCGTCCTATGTTATCTTGAGGTTATATTGAGGTTATCTTGAGATGATTTCGGGGCTTTAGTGTCCCCGCGGCCCGGTCCTCGACCAGGCCTCCACCCCCAGGAAGCAGCCCGTGACAGCTGACTAACACCCAGGTACCTATATTACTACTAGGTAACAGGGGCATAGGGTGAAAGAAACTCTACCCATTGTTTCTCGCCGGCGCCTGGGATCGAACCCAGGACCACAGGATCACAAGCC